AATAGTCCTCAGCAATCTTTTTTAAAAAACTTTTTTGCTGTGACTTGGGAAAAGAGAGAACTGGATAGCCCAAGACCAGAGGCTCTGAGCGTTTCTTATTTCCCCAGGCCCCCCTGCCCCGACCCCGGATGAGTGCCCAGGAACAGTTGGAACGCATGCGCAGACACCAGGAGGCTGGACGGTCCCTTCCTCACTCCACCTCCCCTAGGCTCCTCACTCTGGGGAGAACGCTGTCGCCGCCCAGACACCAGCCTGACCCAGAGCCAAGGGTAAGTAAGACAGGTGGGGGAAGTGGCGAGATGGCATGTTTCTGAGTCCTCTGCATCTAGTCTGAGTCTCGGTTTCCCTCTCTGTAAAATGAAGATGCTTTCTACTACCTCCTTGACTACCTTAGTTTTCAGATTCACTGCAACTTGTAGCTGCGTTAAAATGTCTGCATCCTGGCCCACCTGGAGGTGGGGGTGGGGTGGGGATGATCACTTCACCAGCTCTTTTGCTTCAGGTTTGGATCATGGGTCTCCATTCCAAGCCCAGTTTTTTTATTTTTTTCTCAGTTGTGTGCTGCAGGGTCCGTTATGTGCTGTCAAAGGCAAAGTAATCCAGTGTGTAAGGAAATGGACTATACTCCGATCATAGGGAGAGCACCCCAGATCTGAAAATCAGAGTGGGGAGCCAGGCTTTTTATAGGGATGAGGAGACAAGTTAGGGGTCAGTGGTGGCTCAGTGGTAGATTTTTCACCTTTCAGTTTGGAGATTTGAGTTCAATTCCTAATCAAGGCACCTCATGCATGTGGTTGTTGTTGTTGTTATGTGCTGTTGAGTTGAGTCGGCTCCAACCCATAGCGACACTATATAGGATATCTGAGGAGTGACTGGTGAGCTTGAACTGCCGACCTTGCGGTTCAAACGACTTTGTTATCCAGCACATTAACCCACAGCGCCACACCAGGACTCCTCACACATAGCCACCATTTATCTATCAGTGGAGACTTAGCTGTTACTACCATTGCCACGCTTGAGTCCGTAGATGCTGCCACTTGGCCAATCCATCTCGTTGGTGGTCTTCCTCTTTTTCCCTGACCCTCCACCTTACCAAACATGATATCCTTCTCCAGCGACTGGTTCCTCCTGACAATATGGCAACAGTAGTGAGGTTGGCCCAGGATCGGGCAGTGTTTCATTCTGCTGTGCATAAAGTCACTGTGGGTCTGTACTGACTCGATGGCACCTAACAACAACAACCGTGCTGAACCGGTTTCAGTGGAGCTTCCAGAATAACACAGACTAGGGGGTAAAAAGCCTGGTGATTGATTTTTGGAAAAAAAAAAAAACAGCTACCAAAATGGCTATAGATCATAACCGTCTGATTCTGTGAGGTGGAGCTGGCGCAGTGGCAGCTAGCACCAGTAAGATACATGATGAGGTGGTGGAGTGATTTATGTTGGGGTTGTTTGTGCAATCAGTGACTGGAACAGGAAATGTTTAGTTCTGGAACTACTTAGTTTCAGGGGACAAACATTTCAGCTCATCACTCACAAAACAAAGGACGGAAATCAGTTATTCAGTCTCTCCAAGTCACATGCGGCAGGCCTTCTCTGCAGCACATTACTTCCTAGAATACAAAAAGGTGGAGGAATTTTTTATAGCCTTGGAGTCCTAGAGTGTCGCTGTAAGCATTGGACTGCAAGGTCGGTTTGAACCACAAGGTTGGCGGTTCAAACTCACTAGCCACTCCTTGGACTCATATACAGGGCCGCTATGAGTCGGAACCAAGAAGCTCTGGTAAGTGTAGTGGTTACGAATCGGGCTGTGAACCTCAGGGTCAGCAGTTCGAAACTACCAGTTGTTCCACGGGAGAAAGATGAGGCTTTCTGCTCCCATAAAGATTTGCAGCCTCAGAAAACCTGTACAGGATCGCTATGGGTCGGAACTGACTCCACGGCACATAACAACAACAACATAAGTCAGAACCAACTTGGCACTAACCAACATTTTCTTCCCAGGAGAACATGGATCAGGACAAGTTCAACACTGTTGGTGTCTGGGTTATTTCATCCCCTTTTTGAGTTTCCCTGGTGGCACAGTGGGTTAAGTGTTGGGTTACTAAGCAAGTGATGGGCAGTTCCAACCTACTGCAATGGAGAAAGATGAGGCTGTCTGCTTTGTACAGCCTTGGAAACCATAGGAAGCAGTTCCCTGCCGGGTAGGCTTACTATGACTTCTCTTTCCCCTCTGAATGAGGACACAGAGCTTCTACCTGAAGAATCCTAATGCTTCAATTCCTTCACAGCCTGCTGTAGATGCCTTAGGACTCTCGGGAGCCCCAAAATGCCTCCGAAGTTCAGGGACCTGGAGTAGGTGAGGAACCAAAGGGCGGCATGGGAGCAGGGGAGTCTATTTGCCAACGGGGAGAGAGTAATTATTATTAAAGACTTCCGAGTACTGAAATATATACATCGCAGAATTTTAGAGACACATGAGTTCCTGGAACACATGAAGCAAAATCAGAACGCCGTGACGGCAGTGAGAATTGCAGTTCCCTGTGCATCCTTGATAGAAAGTAAACCCCTCCCTTCCTTCAGGGAGATGGGGTGGATGCACTCTAGACTGCATGTGGGCTTATGTAGGGCATAAAGTCCTTTAGCGACACGCGCGTGGGACTACAATTCCCAGAAGCACTCGCGCGTCCCGTAGTACTGTGTACAGGCTAATTGTATATGTCCTCGCCCCCCAAATCTACCCTTCCTTCCAGTTCAAGGAACACCACTCCTTACTTGCCAATGTCTGAAGGCCACCGGGAGCGGGTCCTCAGTCTTTCCCAAGCCCTGGCCACTGAGGCGTCACAGTGGCACAGAATGATGACAGGTGAGGCGGGGGCGGGGGGGGGGGAATCTTGCATTCTTGGGTTTTAGTTGAAGACCCCTAGATCCTGATGAAGAAGGTTTGGGGAGTGGCCGGGAATCCTTTGTTTGGGTGAGCAAAGGGCAAGGCAGGACTTGGGAGCAGGCAAAAGGGAAGTGGGCACTGGGACTCCAGGCTCCGAGGAAAGCGGGGCTGGGGACCCGGACTCCTCAGTTTGAAGGAGGAGGTAGCCCGGGGCCTGGAAATGCCTTGGAGATCTGGACTGGACTCTTCTATCGAGCGGGGTGCCATTCTTACTCCTCCTTCTCTCCAGGTGGAAATTTGGATGCCCGGGGAGACACGCTCCCTCCTGCACCTCCGCCTCCGTCGAACCCCACACCCCGGATGACCTCGCCCCCAAGGTCTCCTCCAGTAGCTAACTCCCGCTCCGCTGCTTCCCCTAGCCTGGGCAGTGGGCGAGTTAGAGGCTCCGCCCCCTGGGAGTCCACGTGGGAATCTGGTCCCAATTCTCCCACCCTGACCCCTACAGAGGGGCAGTGGCCTTTGAGAGTCACCCTACTGCAGTCCAGTTTCTGACCAGCTCAAACGCAGAAGCAAATCAGAGCGTGGGGTGTGGCCCGAAGATCTAGAGCCAATCAAGGCGCCTGGGGTGTGGTCTGGGTCCCTCCGGTGACTTGGAGAGGCGTGGTTTCCACAGCCAAATTTTGGTTTTCCCAACGCTGTCCAAATTTGAATTAAAACTTTGAACTTTTAGCGAATAGCTTTTTTTCTTCTTGGTTTGTTTGGAGTTGTAGCCCTGGGGTATCGGCCGAAGCAAAGCTGGAGTCCGGGGTTGCTGCGTACTGAGAGTGGAAGGGACTAAGAGCTCCGGCTTTGGGGTTTGAGAAATGAGGGAGGTAGACAGCCGGATTCCTTGATTAGGTGAAGGATCCCGGGACCAGGACTGAATCCTGGCTCTTGGGGAGAAGGGGCTAGGGCCAGGACTCCTGAGGCTAAGGGAGGAGGGAGTTAAGGTTAGATCCCTGTGCCTGAGGAAAAGGGGGATGGGGGTCTGGACTCCCGGAGTCTAAGGGAGGAGGTGTTAAGATTAGACTCTTATGTGAGGAAGGAGGGATGGGGCCGGGATTCCTGGGTTTAAGGGAGGAGATTAAGGTTAGATTTATGTGTCTGAAGAAGGCGGGGCTGGGGGCCTGGATACCTGGGTCTGGGGAAAGTGTGTCTTGGAAGGAGGGAGTTGGGGGCCCGTACTCCAGGTCTGAAAAAGAAGGGAACCAGGACTCTTGAATTGGAAAGTAGAGGGACCTGGGGTCGAACTTCCTGGTCTGACGCTATCCTAGCACCGCCTCCAGGGCCGGGCCTCCAGGATCAGCCTCTGTTTAGGACTTGACCCCACGGCTTTAGGGACTTTGAAGTGGGAAGAGGTCTGAAGTGGCAGGAGAGGGAGAGACAGGTTCGGGCAGAATGGCCATGGGAAGACGCTATGCTGAAAAGGTTGTGATTGTGACTGGGGGCGGACGTGGCATCGGAGCCGGTATCGTGCGTGCCTTCGGTGAGTAGAGGGTTCTGGGTGCTGGAATTTGGGGTTCCAGGAAGTGAGGAGCCCGGGAGGCTAATGGGAAATCGGAGGAAGGGATTCCAACACAGAGGTCAAGATTCTTATCTTTAAAAAAGCCAATTTTCATGCTAAGTCTGTTGAGTGGTGGTCTCTAACCACGGTTCCTCCTTTCTTTGGATTTTGGGTATTGGGGCTGCAAAAAAACGGGAGGTTTGGGAAAAACATGTCTTGGGGGTTTAGGGTTGACTTTGGAAGTCAAGGTTGAGGGCCTGGGAACCCACAGCAAGCCCCAGGAGTGGCCGGGCAGCATAGCTGTGGGACCTCTGCCCTTTGTCCCAGAGGATCATCATGGGACAGGGGTCACGAGGGGTTGGGAGGGCGACTGGGCTGCTTCAGGTGGCCACACGGGGACAGCAGAGACCTTTCGTTAGATCAATGCCCAGCTAACCTGTCCCTTTCCTTTTAGCGGAATCTGGGTCCCAGGTGATCATTTGTGACAAGGACGGTGAGTGAGTTCTTGCCCCCAAACCCTCCTTCTTCAAACTCTGGGGTTTTGGATCCTGCCCCCTTCTCCCTTAGATCCAGAAGTTCCTTCCATGAGTCCTAGCCCCCAGCTGCCTCCTCCCTCAGACCCAGTGTCTAGCCCTAGCCCCCTTCTCCCTCGGGACCCTGTAGTCCAGGCCCCCTGCCTCCTTCCTCAGGCCCAAGGGTACTGGGTCCCAACCCCCTCCTCTTCCAGACACATGAATCGGGGCTCCCAACTGCCTTTCTCTCAGACCCAGAGAGGGCTCCCTGGCCTTTCTCTCTCTGCAGAGTGTGGGGGCCGGGCCATGGAGAAGGAACTTCTGGGCACTGTCTTCATCCACTGTGATGTAACACATGAGGAAGATGTGGAGGTGAGTGAATTTTATGTCCTGCCCTCCTAGCTCCAAGAATTTCCGTCTCTCACTCTACCTTTTTTCCCCTCTGGGTTTTTGCACATGCTGTTTCCTCCTCTTTTCTTCCCTCTCCTGGTTACATGCATCCATCCCAGAGCGTTGAGACCATGCCATCTTGCCCAAAGATGTCCCCCTACCTAGTTCTGTTGGCCAGCTCACATGTCTCCCTATGTAAGTTCTCCTTTTTTCCTCCCAATTCTTCAAGGCACACCTGTTTCTCACATGGATCTCAATGATTAACTTCCTCAAAGTGTGCCTCCTTATTACAGTCTCTCTCCTGTCTCGGGGTTCCTCTACCTTATCTTAGTGGTTGTTAAGTATCATAGAGTCCGTTCTGACTCATAGTGACCCTGTATGGGGTTTCCGAGTAGCGGCCCTGGCAAGTTTGTGCTTCAAACTGACTTTTTAGTCCAGTGTATTAACCCACAGCTCCATACCAGGACCTCCCCTTATCTTAGTCAGTATCTTTCTGGGTCTCTGTTCCCCCTTCTCTGGGTCTCTGTCCCCTTTTTTCTGGGTCTGTCTTCCCGCCTCTCTCTGCATGCCCCCCAGGTCTCCATCCCCCTCATGTGTTCTGAAATGGTCCTAACTACCCACCCTCTAGAGTCCTGGTGTGGCGCTGTGGGTGAATTAATGCATCAGACTGCAAAGCTGTTTGAACTGCAAGGTCGGCAGTTCAAGCTCACCAGCTGCTTCTCGGAAATCCTAAACAGGGTCGCTTTGGGTCAGAACTGACTTGATGGCACTTAACAACAACAACCCACTTTCTGGAGTCCTGGTGTGGTGCTGTGGGTGAATGTGTCAGACTGCAAAGTCGTTTGAACTGCAGGGTCGATGGTTCAAGCTCACCAGCTACTCTTTGGAAACCCTATACAGGGTCACTATGGATTGGAATTGACTCGATGGCACTTCACAACAGCAACAACCGAGTCTCTGCTCTGTGACTCTTGGTTCTTGCCTGCCTTTCTCATGTGCTGATTCTGGGGAAGTGTCATACTTCCTCTGGCTCTCCCCAACCTCCCTTGGTTTTGGGGGCCCTGAGCTGCCCACTCACCCGTCATCTCCTCCTCCCCAGGCCCTGATCTCAAAGACAGTGCGGCGGTTTGGCCGCTTGGATTGTCTGGTCAACAATGCTGGCTACCGTGAGTCATGGGGCCGAGGGCCCACCTGCCCAGATGCACACCCACTCCCTGTCTCCTCCCTTTCCCCCTGTGCCTCAGTCTCCCCTGATCCTGACCCCAGTTCCCTCATCCTGTTCCCTAGCTCTCTATGGTCAGTACAATGCAGCTGTGGGGTCCTCAATGCCTAGGCTTCAATCCTGACTCTGTTTTATCCCTGCTGTGTGCCCCAGGACAACTCTTTACCACTCCGTGCCTCAGTTTCCATATTTCTAAAATGAGGTCAGTGGGGAATCACTGGTAGAATCCTTATCTTCCATGTGAGAGACCCAGGTTCGATTCCTGGCCAAGGCACCTCATGTGCAGGTGGCTAGAATGCTGAACAGCTTTCAGCAGAGTTTCCAGACTAAGAGAAACAAGGAAGAAAGGTCTGGAAATTTACTTACAAAAATCAACCATGAAAATCCTGTGGACACAAGTGTCTAATCCACAACCGATCATGATGGAGCTGGCAGAGGACTGGGCAGTATTTTGTGTTGTTGTATCTGGAGATGACCCTTCATACTGGCTGGGCCATTAAGCAGCTCTCCCATCTATTGGGACTTACAGTGAACAGAAGAAACAAAGCTTCACTGCTCCCATCGCCTTCATATGGAATTCACATTCTAGAATGGGGAAGTAGATCATAAAAGATCAGTCAGAAGAAAGGCGGCCTGCTGGCTGTCTACTGAAAAAATCAGCCATTGAAAATCCTATAGAGAGGGCATGGTTCTCCTCTGACACCTATCGGGTTGGCATCCGTGGGCGTTTGGTGTTAACGCCAAGGTAACTCCTTTCATGTCACTCCAAAGGCGTGACATGCTAACCAAAAGGTCACTGCCCTAACTCATTAGTCACAGAGCAACAACAAAAAAACTGAAATTGTTGAGCATCCACATTCCAGCTGAGGGCCCTCCCTTCTCGTTTCAACTCTCAGACAATCAACAAGAGTCTCTGTTTTTGCAGGTTTTGCCATATTTTCTTTATTTTTGTGTAATTTTTCTTGGTGGTGTTGCTGTTTAAAAATGGCCCCTTAGTATAGTGCCAAAGGAGCTCTGGTAGCGTAGTGGTTACGAATCGGGCTGCGAACCTCAAGGTCAGCAGTTCGAAACTACCAAGTGTTCCACGGGAGAAAGATGAGGCTTTCTGTTCCCGTAAAGATTTACAGCCTCGGAAACCCTGTACAGGGTTGCTATGGGTTGGAACCGACTCGATGGCACTTAACAACAACAAAAGTATAGTGCCAAAGTACTTACAGAAAAAAGCAGTGTATTAAATAAGCTTCGTTCAAGCATGACTTAGAGTGCTCTTGGCCATGAGTTTAATGTTGTTGAATCAATAATATATATAAGTGATTTTTTTTTTCCACTTATTTTCTTTAAGAGAGTGATTTTAAAGCCGAGAACACGTCAATCAAGGTTAGGTACTGAGAAGCTGAAAAACTCTGAGCAGGGGCTTTGCAGGAGGTGAACTCTGTATTTCTTGAGGAATGGTTCAGCATTTTTTTATTTCTTGTTTGCAGTGGCTTTGCAGAATATTATTGTTGTGAATTATGAGCATCAACTGCATTTCTATTTGCAAAATTCCCTTTGATTTCAGAACCCAACCTCAGTATTACGAAAGTCTTACGCAATATGTGTTGCCCATGCTCCTGAGGAAGCCTATAAAAGAGACCGAGCCTATAAAAAAGATATATCCATTCTTCTGTTGTACTCACAGTGTACATCCATGTTTGCTTAATCACCATTTTGAATGCTTTGAATTTCCATATTTCCTAGTGGGGGTGGAGAAAGATAAGCACACATGATCAATATTACTGTCTTCCGTGGGGAAAAAAAACAACCAGGCAAAAGTGGCTCCTCAGATGGAGGAACCCGGTGACGCAGTGGCTAAAGCACTCCGCTGCCAACGGAAAGGTCGGCAGTTCTTATTTCCCAGATGCTCAAAACAAATTATTGTTGTTGTTGTTAAGTACCATTGAGTCAGTTCTGACACACAACAACCTCGTATAGGGCTTCCGAGGGGCAGCTAGTGGATTTGAACTGCCGACCATGTCCAGTGTTGATCCTACTATGCTACACCAGGACTCCAAGATAATAGCACGAATGTTCATAGAATGCTGGTGGTGCTGTGGGTTAAACGTTGGACTGCTAACTGAAAGGTCGGCAGTTCAAACTCACCAGTCACTCCGCTGGAAAACTCTGTGACAGTCAGTTTCTGTAAAGATTTACAGCTTTGGGAGCCCTATGGGGCAATCTAGTCTGTCCAATAGGTTCGCTGTGAGTCACAGTTGAAGGGTTTTATATAAGATGTCTAGCGGTGATCCGTATGATGAAGTATTTTGTATTATGAAGTTTGAGGGTAGTTTGAGACAGAGGGTCCTGGAAAGTTTCTACAAAGACACGTGAACAACTCCCTAAGGAAGGGAGGCATGAAGCCTCAGATAGTCAAGGAAGAGTGTTCTACTGTGTCCCCATTTTTCCATCCTGGGGCTGATGAGACAAGGTTGTTATTAGGTGCCGTCGAGTTGGCTCCGACTCATAGCAACTCTATGCATAGCAGAACGAAACACTGCCAGGTCCTGTGCTTACCTCACTGTGCCAATTCATCGCGTTGTGGGTCTTTCTCATTTTTGCTGACCTTCCACTTTATTAAGCATAATGTCTTCCAGGGACTGGTGGTCCCTCTTGATAATATATCCAAAGTATGAGAGACAAAAATCTCACCATTCTGGCTTATAAGGAGCATTCTGGCTGTACTTTTTCCAACAAAGATTTGTTTGTTCTTCTGACAGTTCATTATACTTTTAATATTCTCCTCCAACACCAGGATTCAAATGCATCAGTTTTTCTTTGGTCTTCCTTACTCATTGTCCAACTTTCACAAATATATGAGGCTATTGAAAATGCCATGGCTTGTACCTTAGTCCTAAAGCTGATGTCTTTACTTTTGAACTCTTTAAGACCAACCCTAAGTTCACTGCTGTTGGGTCGATTTTTGACTCCTGTGACTTCATAGGATAGAATAGAACTGGTTCTAAGGGTTTCTGAGCCTAAATCTTTATGGATCAGACAGCCTCATCTTTCTTCAAAGTTACTGATGAATTTGAACTGCTGACCTTGCGGTTAGCAGCCCTTTGCTGAATCGACTGCACCACCAGAGTTCCTGACTAGATGTTTAAAAAGAACAGAAATTTATTTCCTCATTGTTCTGGAGGCTACAAATTCTAATGCAAGGCGTCAGCAGATCCACTCTCCTGCTGAAGATTGCAGGGGAGAGTCCTTTCTTGTGTCTTCCAGCTTCAGGTGGTTCCTGATGTCAAAGTTCAACAACTCAGAACACTAGAAACAGATTTCTGAGCAGGAGTAATGTTGTTGAAGTGCTGTTGAGGTGGTTCCACCATGTGCAACGTCATGACACAATGTCCAGTCTTGACCCACCCTCACAGTTGTTGCTGTGTGTGAGCCTTCGTTACTGCCACTGTGTTCATTCATCTTATTGAGGGTCTTCCTCTTTTTCACTGACCCTCTACTTTACCACGCATGATGTCCTTTTCCAAGGACTGGTCCCTTCTGATAATATGTCCAAAGTCCACCAGACAAAGTCTCTCCATCTTCATTTCCAAAGAAAATCAGACTGTAGTTCTTCCAAGACAGATGTATTTGTTCTTCTGGCAATCCATGGTACTTTCAATGTTCTCCTCCAACATTGTAACTCAAATGCATCAATTCTTCTACAGTCTTCCTTATTCACTGTCCAGCTTTCACATGCATATGAGGTGATTGAAAATACCATGGCTTGGGTCAGGCGTACATTAGTCCTCAAACTGACTTCTTGGCTCTTCAACACTTAAGAGAGGGCTTTTGCAGTAGATTCAAAGGACAACTTTAAAATTGGGCATCAGTGAGCTAGTGTTCCAATTTGTTAAGATTTTCAAAGTATCTACCTCTCAGTTCATTAGGAACTCTAAACAATGTTTAAAATTGGATTGAGTCAGAATGTATCAAATCTTGTAAGGGCTCCTCAAACATGAAGAAGAGGAAACTAGAACTATCCCTAAGACCATCCCAGGGCAGTGAATCAGGATAGGCAGACTTCTGGAATCTTCTCCCACTTGTTTTCTGAAAGAACAAGTTGGAAGTGTGTCAGTGAACTGGTGAAACAAGACCACTGCTTCTGAAGCTTAGTTACAGTTGAAGGCATGACTGTAACCCCACCTACTACCATGGAGCCAATTCTGACACATAGTGATCTTTCTCCCATGGAGTGACTGATGGATGGGTTTGAACTGTTGACCTTGCTGTTAATAGTCTAGTGCATAACTATAAGCATTTAAAAATTATATAGAAATGATTATACAACTCCTAGATTTCTTTTTGTGGAACTTTTATTGTGATATGGGTGAACGTTGACAGAATAAATCCACTTTCCATTAGACAATTCACACACATCCGGTTTCTTCTCATTGAAATTTCCCCTGTCCAATTCTCCTATCCTAACTTTTCCTGCCTTCTGAATTTTGTCAAAAATGCAGCGCTTTTGATCTCAAATGGTTGATTAGTCTAAGGTATGTGTACTTCCCTAGCGTTACTGTCCTTGTGTTGTTAAGTGCATTAAGTTAGTTCTGACTCATAGCAACCCTCTATAGGGTTTCCAAGGAGCAGCTGGTGGATTTGAACTGCCAACCTTGTGGTTAACAGTCCGGTGCCCTTGTTGTTGTTAATGCTGTTGAGTTGGTTCCGACCCGTAGTGACCCTGTATAGGGTTTCCGAGGAATAGCTGGTGAGCTTGAACCACCAACCTTGCAGTTCAAACGGCTTTACAGTCTGGCGCATTAACCCACAGTGCCAAACCAGGACTCGTTCTTGTTAAGTGCCATCAAATTGGTTCAAGTTTTGACTCATAGTGACCCATCCTGTTAGCAGGGATAGAGAACGTCTGGCCCAAGGGTCGTACTGTTGTTTTAAGTGCTGTTGAGCCGGTTC